GTCTCCTATAAACTGGTAAAATACTTATGTAGAACCTATGTACATGTTCTTCAACACTTTAACACTTGTCTAGATTGCTTATAATCTAATACAGTACAAATGCTAGGTAAATAGGTGCCATATGGTGTTACTTAGGGGATAATGACCAAAAAAGTCTGTACACACTCAGTGCCGATGCAAGTTTTTAAAGATGTTTTTGATCACAGATGAATGTGGAACCCATGGACACAGAGACAGCTGTGTTTCCTTATCTACCTCCAGCAACCATTCACTCTGTGGGTGCAGTCTAGTCACCTTCGCCTTCCAGCATCTGGAACGTAAGAGCTGCTCCAAGCACTGCTGGTCCTCTGATGGATCAACTATACCCAGGGAATCAGTGGACCTCCCAGGTACAAGAGGAGAAGCAAACCAAGAGACGGTCACTCCCACAGAACCGGGGTGAGGCACATCGCTCTGTGCAGCAGCCCACTTCGAGTCCAGTAACTTGCCCTCCATCTTGTTGCTGTGTGCCCCGAAACAACAAAGGACAGAGCTGCGTCGTGTTTCCGACAGCAACTTGCCAGAAGAAAAGGGTGTGTGCAGAAATGACATAGAGCCCTGTCACCACTGCACCAGGGGCCAGGGCTGGAGGAGACGGGATCTGCCCAGGGGCTGATGCAGGGGTATGGAGCAGGGCCACCCCAGAGAAACCAGGACATCTGCCCTTTGTCCTGGGGCCTCTGCAGTGCAAGCCGGGCCATCTTCTAACAAACTTCTATCAAATGTAGTGCCTGAGCTTGGGAACAGGAAAGCAAAGGCCTGAAATGCCTCCAAAATGAACCACACCCTGTGGTTCCACTGTAGTGAACAGGCACAGTATGGCCGTTTGCCGTGCGTATCCAAGCCTTCCCATGTGGAGCCCACTTGTGCAAAGTGGAGTCCTCCAAGTGCCTGCTCTGTCTCACCCAGCCCAGCTGTGACAGCCTCCTATGTGGCGGGGCCCTGGGCACACATCTCAGGGCTCTGGGGTGCTGCTCCCTGTTGTGCCATCTCTGCTCCAATCTTCCTGCTCGGGAAGAACCTTCCTCCGCACCCGCCCAGAACAGAATCCTGTTCTGGCCCAGGCCCTGATTTACAAGCCTTCCATGCACTCAGTCCTTCATTACCAGGAGTTCTGCATCCAACCACAAGTGAAATGGTTGGGAAAATATCCACGTCTGTACCGAACATGAACAGAATTTTCTCTATCATTATTCCCTAGACAATACAGTACAGAAACTACTTGCACAGCACTTAGACTGTACAGGTACTATAAATATTCCAGAGAAGATTAAAGCATGCAAGAGGGTGTGTGTGGGCTCCATGCAAATGCCATGTCATTTAACACAAGGAATTTGGGCAGCTATTGATTTTGTTATCGGTGGGGGTCCTGGAGCCTATTTCCCAAGGGTGTGGAGCAAGACTGAACTATGCAGTGTTTTTATTTACTTTTTAAAATTTATTTTTCTGGTCCTGGGGATTGAAACTGGGGTGCTCTGCCTCTGAGCCCCAACTCCACCCCCTCAAATTTGTCTTTTTCTTTTGCTATAGAGTCTAAGTTGCCCCAGCAGGCCTCAGACTTGCAGTCCTCCTACTCAGCCACCTTCTAGCTAGCCAGGGATGTGGTCCACGTGGTTCTAAATGCTGAGTTCTCCTTTCCTCACTAAGATGCCAGCTCCTTGAGGGCAGACAGTCATGGTCTAATGTCTCCAGTCCCAGCACCTACAATGGTGCCCAGCTTTTAACACCTTGGGTAACTACAGACTCTAGCTATGTCGGTCCACAATGGGATAAGCTGGTAGAGTTGTAAGGAAGGACACAGAAGACACCCTATTTAGGGGAGTCTGAATGAGGGTGTGAGCCCAACAAGGAAGAAAGTAACAGTTGCCTGAGACACACCTGCCCAGGGTGAATGGCCCTTGGCCGTCCCCCTCTTTTATAAGTGAGTACACCCGGCAGCCATGGGAACCCATGTTGGAGTCAGCTCTGACTTTAAAACGACCCATGTCATGGTATTCGGTGGAAGTTAGGAGCATCTTATGAAATGACCTATAAGCAGGCCAGATCAGGATTATTCAAAACCAAGTTTAGGGTTTCCTGCAATCTTGGCTCATCCCCACCATGGATGTGGTGGTGCCTGCTAGGGATGAGGGACAGACTCACTCACTCCAGATGCACAGCACCAGACCCTTCCAGCTAGGCGTCCTGTGCGGGAAGTGCTCATGAACATTAGAAACTATGCAGGAGATTTTTGGTGACAAGAATTTCTTGGTGGCAATGATGGAGAAAGAAGACAAAGTAGCAGAGACAGGAAAGCTCAGACTGGCACTGAAGCGCACACACCATGATGCAAGCCTGGTGAGCATTTCTACCCAATCCTCAAGAGCAGTAGGAGGGAGTATCACCCACAACAGATCAGAGAACCAAATCTCTGGAAGGTTGTTTCTTGAAGCTGAAGTTATATGGGTTCTCTCTCTCTCTCTCGCTCTCTCTCTCTCTCTGTGTGTGTGTGTGTGCGTGCGTGTGCGCATGCACGCACACTTGCACTTGTACTAGGGACTGAACCCAGGACCTTTGCACTGAGCTACACCTGCAATTCTTTTTTTATTTTTTATTTTGAGATAGAGCCTTGCTGAATCACTAAATTGCCCAGGGTAGACTGGAACTTTTGATCCTCCTGCCTTAGCCTCCCAGAACAATGGGATTACAGGCCTGTGTCTCCACACCTGGCTGGAACACAGACTGTGAAGCAAGGTCTCCACAGCCCCATGTCGGGCTCCTGCCTCTTGCTAGTATCCCAGGTGAGGCTATAGCTGAGCTGCAGTACCATCCATCCGTCCATCCCTGGACAAGCCATATAGGTTTGGCAGAAGCTGGAAAGATGTGGCTGAGGTGTGGGCACTATCAGGAGAAAGCCAAGCACACGAGTGCACAAGAGGTTGGCATCCATGTGGCGCCCTTAGGCAGTTGCAATGTAAGGTGGGACAAGAGCACAGTCAGAGGGGATCAACTCGGGAGACTTGGAGAAAAGGCACATGCCCAGGCCATGAGCCCTGGGTTGGGGCTGGGTGTGCCCTGAGGGTGCCTGAGGTGACACACAGGATGGCATGTCTCTCCCCCTGGAAGGGTCAAACACATCCCTGTGAGAGGATAGAGAGAGCAGAGGGTGCAACTGCTGTTTTCAGACACAGCAACTCAGAAAGAATCACTTCCCACCCACAGCTGCTCCCCAGGCGCCTGAGAGGTGCTGGCTGAAGGGAGAAGTCAGCAGACTGCTCCCTGAATTAGGTCACTCATTCCTGACTTGTCGAGATGCTGTGTCTGCAGTCCCATGACACTTGGGTTGGAAATTATTGCTGAGAAGATGGAAAAGGCCAGGCCTCGGAGGAAATGAGCTGCTGCTAGGCGTCCACACTGAGGGGCAGCACCCTTCTCCCGCCCAGCATTGCAGCAGAGATGGAGCTGCGTCACTGCATGACAAGCGGAGCCATTTCTTTGGTTTTTCTTTTAGGATTGTGTTTAAGAGCGCTTTTATTTTTATTTATTTATCTTTATTTTATAGCAGCACAATTTGTAATCGCTAAATCTCAGAAACAACCCAAATGCCCATCAACTGAGGACTGGAAAAAAAGATGTGGTATTTTTATACAATGGAGTATTACTCAGCTATAATATAAGATAAACCCAAGGCTTTTATAGGAAAATGGATGCAACTTGAGATCATACTCAAAAGTGAAATTAAGAGTTAAAATCAGAACAATGCGGAAAATTCATTCAGTACATAGCTATGCAGAGCAAACATTCTTGCTAGGAAAAGCCCCCAGAGTCAGCTGGGTGTTAACCTGTGTGCCTGGGCACAGGCTGCACCACTGTTTCCAGTGAAGTTCCAAGGCAGGGATGGGTAAGTGGTCTTTGGTGCCCCAGGAAGCATCTCTGTAGAGGACACCACTTGGGGACAAAAATGGGTAAGTGTCTCCTCTTCTGGCAGCTGCCCACTGAGTCATCTTGGCCTTGCCCCTGGAGAGGGGAGTCCCGCCCACAGCAGACAGTTCCTGCATCTCTGGACACTGACCCTGGCTGAACTGGCCCACACCTCTGGGGCCTTCTAAAATTTAGGCTCACATCAGTTTCCAAAGGATGAAGGACAGAACCTGGAACTCATCCTAACTTCTGAGTTCAAAAGGCTGAAGACCACAACCTGCTTCTGATCAAACAGCTTAACTCGCCATTTGTGTAAGCTATGCCTAGGACTTTTTTTCTTTTTAACTCTCTGAACAAGGAAAAACAGAAATCATGTCTGAGACTGGAGGGACACTGGAGTGAACAAGCTGTGGTTTATATATTTGTTAGCGCACCGGCAACATTGGTGCGCATCCTGTGATTGTCCTGAAAACAAGGTTGAGGCCGAGCATCCCCAACCTGAACTCTGAAAGGCTCCAAAACCTGGGACTTAGAGCATCAGCACTGATATCACCAGTGGGAGGTTCCCCACCTGATTTTTGTGATGGTCACAACATCAGGCCACAGGCGGACTAAAGTCATGGCTGAAACTACTCTGAGCTATGTACAAGGTGCATATACAGATGAATCCAGTCTAGACTTCTGAGCCCCAAGGGGAAACATTTCATTAACTATATGTAAGTATTTTAAAACTGGAAAAAAAAGTCTCCAATGCAAAGCACTTCTGGTTCTAAGCAGTGTGGATAAGGAATACTTATCTGTGCTAAATACCATTTTCTTTAAATATGATGTCCTTCAGGACTCAACAAGAATATTCACTTTAGGATCAAACTGAGCAAAACAGACTGGGTTACATGTGCCCTCTCCATTTCAAAGCATCCCGAGGAAAGGCCAGCATGCGTGTGTCACAGAGTAACACGTGACCCCTGCATGGGAGCAGATGGCATCTACTGACAAGAATGCCGCATTATCCTGAGTAGTGCCTGGCGGCGGGAGACAAGGAGAAGAGACAGGATACTCACAGGAACTTGCCATCCGTCTTTGATCCTATGAGGACAATCTGCTCAGACTCGCCCCGAGAGATATTTCCGTGGAACCAGGGCATTTTCTCGTGGGCTGTGGTGGCAATCAGCTTTTCCAGCTGTGGCTTCTGACTGATGATGGCCTGCTCCAAAGCCTGGCCCTGCCGTGAGTAGGAGAGATGGCTTGTCAGGCCAGGAAGAAACAGAAAGTCGAAGAAATAAGTCACGTCCAGGGTACTGTGCGGCCTACTGTGGAAGCAGAGTAGGACTTCATTCGCACACGCATTCACTAGCTGCTCATCACTCATTCCGCACATAACCCAGCGAGTACGCATTACGGAAGTGCCTTCAGAGGCACAAATATGGAGGCACATTCTAGAATAAAAAGATTCACCTTTTCCAGGCCAGATGAAACTTTGACTACCATCTGGCCTAAGCTCTGAGGTCCACAGAACAGTCCCCCTGCCCCGGGTGCCCCAGGATACTAGGCTGACTGTTCGGTAGTAAAGCCTGGCCATTTCCTGGTGGTCAAGAAACTTGCGACGAGTGGGGGAGGCACATCCTGTCTGCCTGCACAGGGGAGAACGCATGAGGGACCACATGGACATGGCCACTGGGAAGCCAAGGCTGGGAAACAGGGCTGAGAACTAAGTGAACTGATTTCCTCACTTTCTTAGGGGGAAAGAAACAGGTCTTTTTGACAGTGATTAATGAAGGGCCATAGTTTGATGATTTGCATTTATAAAGAAATCCCAAAGCAGTAACAGTAGAAATGTAACCACCCCAAACAGCTGGGAGGCAGAGGGTAGACAGCTGTGAATGAAAGCGTGGGGCTTTGATCACATTTCACAGATGCGGTGAACAGTGCAGGCAGCAGGGGCCACAGACATGAAGCATCCAGAGCAAGATGAGCGCAGAGCCGAGGCAGAGGGCTGCAGACTCCTCTCAGACGTTAGCAAGGACCACCATGGACACAGGCTACAACACAGGCAAAGCGCAGGTACAGCTGCCACACAGAAGAAGCTGGTCTGGAAAGCACAGTGTTATCCACTGTTGTGACACTCTGGAAAAGGCAGAAAGAGACAGAAATCATATGCGTGGCTGCCAGGGGCTGGGTGAGCAGGACATGTGCAAAGGGATAGAGCTCCTGCTCATCCGGACTAAGGCGAGTGTCTCACTCATCACCAATCACAGAACCGCACGCCCAAAAATGATGAATCTACAGTATATAAGCTATACTCAGTAAGTCTGCCTTTTCTGACTTGAAGAGTAAAAGGATGGTCTAAGGCCTATCCAGTGAACACTAGTCAAAAATACCAAGCTCATCATATTATAGTACCTGTCTGCACGATAGAATTTAAGGCAAAACACGTTAAAGGTGTAGAAAAGAATCACTATGTAACTGGCAAAGCTGACACTGTTATAAGTCAGTATGTGTCAAGCAATGCAGAGGGACACATTAGCACGCAACCAGGAGATGAGAAGAGATCTGGGTATTACCTAAGTCCAAGCAGGAGATCGTTACTCAGACCCGTCGGCTCCTGACGCCACATGCTCTGAAGACTGTGGTGGGCCAGGCTCAGGTATAGTGAGTGTTCAATGTGTATGACTGCCAGCACTGGGGGGAAAGCAGGCAGCAGGAATGTAAACTGCCACGACTGCTGCTACCTTTCCAGATGACACTTTCCTACGTTCAAATGAAACACACGTCCTCTGCCAAGGCACATGGCCTTCCAGTGTTTATCCTGCAGACACGGCTCACAAGTTCAGTGTAAAGGAGCACAGTGGGTGCTACTGGCAGGACTATCTGAGAACAACAAAAGCGGTCATGAGTGGTGCTGGTTAAATAAATTATGATGCACAGCAGGCAACACCAGGGCACCAAAGAATGGGTGCCAAGAGCGGTTAGGAAGGTCAGTGTGGCCGTGTTCAAGATAAATAAAAGCTGGAAGACACCCATCAGTGATTTGGTGAAGTGGGTGGCAGGTTTTCCTGTGATGCAGAAACCCACATCTCAGGTGCGAAGGCCCCCTCTCCGCAGTGGCCATGAGAGAGGAAAAGCTGTTGGGCATGGCGCTGCTGCCGGTAATAACAGCACTCTAGGACACTGAGAAAAGGGGCTGCAAGTGTGAGTCTCACCTGGCAATTTAGCAAGCCCCATCTCAAGCAAAAAAAATAAAAAAGGACTGGGGATGTAGCTCAGTGCAAAGCCCCTGTGCTGTGGAAGAAGGAAGGGAGGGAAGAAGGGAGAGAGGGAGGGGAGGAGGGAGGGAGGAAGGGAGGGAAGGAGGGCACAAGGCAGGCAGGCAGGCAGGGGTCTTTTCTCTAGAGGCATTCTGGGGCCCACCAGCACCTCTGAAGGTGCATGCTCATTTGAGCACCCAGGGTGGACATCCAAGGGACTGTGGGCTGGGTAGTGTGGCAGCAAGCCCACCTGCAGGTTCCACGTTTGCTTCACATACTCCCTGATGAGGTTTTCCTTCAGGTCCTCAAAGGGCCCAGTCTTGGGCTGCACACCTGGAGGTCGGTTGCAGGGCTTGGTGAGCAGACAGATCAGGCCATCGGGCTCCAGCGAGTGGTAATGGCAGAGGTCGGCGGGGCTGCTGTGGGTGCGGCCACCCGCGATGGCGTAGGTGCCATTCAGCTCACGCTCGATGGTGTAGTGGTGCGCCTTGCGCCCATGTGCCACGGACAGTGCAAAGCCACCCAGGTAATTGCGGCTCTGGCGCAGCAGGTAGAGCCCATCCGTCATGCCCCCCTGCACCAAGTAATCCTCTGCCTCCTCACGGGTGATGTTGCCATAAAAGAAGGGCAGGTGGTTGGCGCCATCTGCTGCGCTGCTGGCCATGCCTGCGGTAAGCCTTCAGAGTGTACCTGGGGACAAAGGAGAGCGCAGTGAGGACTGGGCAACAAGGCCACCAGAGCCCTCTCTAGCTGGGGCCGAGCCCTTCAGGTTCAGGAAGAAGTGCTTCCCTGACTTTCCCAATTTCTGCTCATATCATTCTTTCCCAAGTGACCAGATTCCCTGAGTGTCAGCCCAAACACACAGGACTCGACAAAAGCCAACCCACTTAGTTAGTTAGTTTTTGGTGGTGACAAAGATGTCTAAGACACATCAAAAAGAAACATGCACAGAACGTGACTGCAAAATGGGGTGAGGGGATGCAGGAGGTAGAAGCAGAAGCTGGGGCGCCCAGAGCAGCTGCTCCTAGAGGAGGAAGTTTCAAAGAAAGCTCGCTGGGGCAATCTGTTACAGTGAAGATGATGCCAGAGGCTTGTCCAATGAGCTCATGGGCAACCATTGGTGCCTTACTTGTGACCCTGTGAAACTTCCCCCTGCAGTCACCACAGCCCTTCCCACCTTTAGCCTGGGGTGCAAGAACCATCAAGCTCCTTCCTGAGTGCAGAAAGTGACATCCTCCCAGAGTCCACAGGGGCAAGGAGGCTATATCAGCCTGCCACTGTTAGGAACGCAGCAGAGGAGGATGTCAGGCGCTTGCTGGGCCACCAGCCTCCCCACTACTGGCCCCTAAAGAGACAGCACATGTCCCCAGATGTGAAGACGTGAACCAAAAGACCCTATCACAAGGCACAGATGACCCCAGAAAAGGCAGGTCTCTAGGTGCATGTTTATCAAGGAAAATATTTTGTAAGAAGGAAGATATATTTTGCTGATCCAAAAGGCATCCAAAGATGTTTGCAGTGTAACCAAAAGGGGCTGGGTGTCCTTGGAAGAGAATCCAGTGATGCCACCCATTCATCCAAGAGAAAGCATCTGCCCTTCCTGCTCGCCGCAACTCTCCCCATCACATACCACCCCACATACACCTCACACACACAATCTACTCACATACCTTGTCACGTGCCCACAGCCACACACACATCATAAACACACATAGCTCCCACATATACACACACCACACACACAGATACATTACACGCAAATACCCACACCACCCATCACATATACTCACCATACACCACATACACCACACGATATACACACACTGTACACACACACACACGATATGTAAATTATATATGTATATAATTATCCTGTACGTGGCTTCATAACCTATGACCACTGGCCTGGTGGTCAGAGGATAATTGAGCTTCTTTAATAACACCCTGAACTGTGGCTCTGAACAGGAACAAGTGTTATCGTAGTTTGGTCATTTTGCTCTCTGTGTCCGGCCATACCGCCCCTTTGCTATCCTCATGTGTTAGGCCTGTGCTGTCCCCAGCTGCCACATTTTCTCCCCCCTGCTGCTCCTTCTCAGGCCTGTGGTCACTGCTCACCATCATCTTCTTAGGGAGTGAATCCCGATGGTCCAATTTTGGGTTGCTGCCTCTGTCCACCTGGCTCATACTTATTCCTACAGAAGTATTCCTTCCCTTCATAGCATCACTACAATCTCCCCTTACCCTAAATGAAGGCTCCAAAGATGTGGAAATTTTGACCAACATTTTCATGAGGTTCACCAGATATCCACAAAATACCTGCTTAATGGAAGCATGTTGCTCTTTGTTTTAGGGCTTCTACACTGATGTGTTGCTTTCCCAGTCAAAGTGTTAAATGTCCAGTTGCTGTGTATTCACAGCGCCCTGGAGACCCGCTGACCCAGCCTTCTAGATGCCCTGTCTATGGCTACATCACTGGAGCTTCGTTCTTGCCCAAGTTCACAGCTTCTTAGGAGAAGGGAACTGACTCTAGCTAGGGCCAGATGCCTCTGCTATAACATGCTTTCGCATCTGACTCTCTGCCATCTCTTCTCCAGCCCCACTCCTTTGTATCCCCCAGAACACACAACCTATACCCAGTTTTGCTCCTGAAAGCAACTTTTCCAGTGCCCGCTCACAGCAGCCACACCAAGTCAATGCCTTCCTCCTCACTTGACATCATCTCAAGAACCACCATATCCTGGTCACTTCACCTGCACAATTTTATGTTGCCCAAACTCCTCTTAAAACAACTACCAATTTTGATGCTGCAGGTGCCGTTTCCTTGGTTTGTGCCCAGTGGTCCACCCACACAGCTGTAGATGGCCCCAGGTGTCTACCATCTATGCTTGGCTTTTGGAGGGTGAAGTTTCCTTTTCACATGTGGTCACAACACATTCTTCACCCTCTATTTATATATTGGAACAGCTGCACTGACCCTGCTTCCCCACCCTCTGCTGTTTCCACTCATTTCCATCTAGCCTCTGTTGCTGTGTTAAGTCAGGGTTATTCAACCTTGGCACTCTTGCACTGGGGCTGGGTCATTCTGTGTTTGCCATGTATTCCCCGGGAGCAAACAAACTCCTGATTGAAAACCACTGTGATAGCTGTGGTGACCTGTCCACAAATATGATGTGTGCTGTCTATGGCTTTAATCTGCACCAGTAAATTAGTGTGATCTAATTTGTTAGTATCGTTGCTGATGAGAAGAAGGTGAGGAGGGTCAGAAATGAATGGAATCCATGCAGGTGGCACCCAGTAGCCTATGGGAGAGTGAAGCTCAGGGTGCAGAGCAGAGGCTGAGGATGGGAAAGACCTCAGTGCATCCCAGCACCACGTGACCAGGACACCATTGTGCCATGGCTCCTCGTCTGGGAAAGGGATCCCAATAGTACTGAAGCCACCATAATGAACTGCAGTCAGGATGGAGTGTGTGGGGGTGCTCATGGGAACTGGTACCTCATGAGTGGGAGCTCTGGACAGAGAGAAGGACTGGAGAATGGTGGGATGCAGAAAAGAGCGACAGGAGAGGCTGTGCACACCAGGGAGAGAGACAGACTCACCCACACCATACAAGGATGGTGCACAGCCTGCTGGAGGCTTGAACTGAACCAAAGCCTGTGCTTCCTTCCCGCGCCCAGAGCTGGTCCTCATACATAGCAAGGTATTAAGTCCAGAAAGATGCCATATTTTCTGACAGGACTTGGTTCTGTGTGCCCCAGCCCTAAGAACCACCCCCCCCTTGTGGCCTTCCATAGGCTGAGGAAGGAATTCTTGGGCATGCTGATGAACTCCACTGCACTCAATGGGCACCCTCCTGTCTTGTACACTTCTGATTTCAGATGTGCTGCATCACTTCGAGATGATTGGCTCCTTTGGGTCTTTCCTTTCCTCTAGACAGTAACAGCCCATGTCCCCAATCCCAAGACTGAGGCTGCCTCTGACAGGTACTGAGACTGGAATCTACCACGTGGTGGTAAATCTATCATTTGTTTTGTGAGGCACAAGGTTTCTGCTGGCATCTGAGAGCATTAGCAGTCACGTTGCTACGGGTAGTCTAAATGGAGGATTGGGGCAGATGCTTAGATGTGGGAATCAGCTAAAAAGCTGCCCAGAGCCCACGACTCTAGTGGAAGAAAATTTTATCGCCTGCAGAGGAACAACCAGAGTGAATGTCAAAATAGTGAAGAAGGCTGAACTCTACATGCCCACCTGGCCCCTACCCACGTCAGCTTCATCACTTTCTGCTTCTCCATGTCCCCCGAAGCCACTAGAATTGCCATTGTACTAGTGTAAATATGTTTACTGTTTCGTTCCTGCTGCCCAGAAAAGAGGCTATCTTAAAACTGAGTCTCCATCCTGCACAGCTTTCTGGAGAGTCACAACATGCACACGGCAGGCAGCATCTAGGACGGGACCCAATGAGCCTCCCCGTGGGTCCTCATACCTTCACACATTGATGGGCTGACTGCAGAGTGACCTGTGGGAGGTTTGAGGCTAGCTCTTTCCCTGACCCAGCCTGATCACACAGAGCTCCAAGAGCATTGCTCTCCCCGGGGCAGCCAGAGGCCACACCATCAGGGTGCCTGAACAGCTTTGTGGGAGACCCATATGGTCAGCTCCCACCTCCGGGCCTCCACCGACTAGCACCCTGCAGCCCTCACTCCCTTGAGAGCCATGGGGGCCTCCTGGAAGAGGCTCCTCCAGCACCATCAACCTTCTGAGGAAACTGCAGCCCCAGCTCACATCTGCCGGCAACCCCAAGGAGACCAGAAGCCAGCCCAGCCATTTCAAATGCCTGGCCGTGGGAATCATGAGAAACAACACAGAACGAGTGTCCCTAATCTAAAATGCCTGGGAATGGGATTGTTTCATAATTTTTTTTTCAGATTTTGGAACATTTGCACATGCCTAATGAGATATCTTGAGGAGGTGACCCAAGTCAAAACATGAGGGAATGGGGAGAGAGGGTAAAGAAAGAGCGTGAAAAAGGAATTATGTGTTGTGTACACATACCAGGCTCCACACAGTGATGCAAACGTGATGTGGTGATTTGCTGCTAGCATGTACTGATAAAGAAGAAAGAAAGGAAAAGATGCCAGAGGCCTTAGGACACGCACAGTGCCCCCGTCTGCCCTGCTTGCCGAGTGCCAAGAAGCATCAGAATCTCATCCTATTCGCAGGCCAAAGGGCGTCACATGTGACTGTCGTGCAGGAAGACAAGGTGGGCCAGGTGTGGAGCCCTGGAACTCTGGATAAGTCACTGTCTTCCAGACTCAATTTCTTTTTAGGTAAGACAAGGGCACAGGATTGCATAATCTCTTTGCTTCCATTTCACTGTTGTGTGACTCAGTTGGTTGGTATGTATGTATTTTTGTTTTTCTTTTTCTGTGACAATTTCTCAGTATGTAGTACAGTGCAGGTTGGCCTTGAACTCACAGGGATTCGGGGCTGGGGATTTAGCTCAGCGGCACAGCGCCTGCCTGGCAAGCATGACGTTGTCAGTTCAATTCCCAGCACCCGTAAAAAAACCAAACAAACCAAAACAAAATGAACTCACAGGGATCCTCCCGCCTCAGCCTTCCTGCCTCAGCCTCCCGAGTACTGGGATTATAGGCATGTGCCACCACGTCCGACTTCTATGTATCTTTCTGAGGTATGTTCAAACATAACCTGCACACACCATAACAAAAAGAAATCCATGTGTGTTTCATAGACACATCACACACGTCCTGAAGGTAGTGTCATACAATATTTTTAATAATTCTGCACATGAAACAAAGTTCCACAGTGTAGCATTTTCTACTGGTGGCATCACATCAGTATACAAAAAAGTGTTGGATTTTGATGCAGTTGGGACTTTGAATATTTCAACCCATAAATGATGACTGCTCTCTTTTTTTTTT